GTAGGAAAGGAGTGTAGCTTCCAAGCTACAAAGGCCTGAGAGAACAAGAGACATTTTGTGTATTCTGCTATCAAAGAGGGAAGAAGAGAAGTCCCAAGCAGTTTTCTTACTAAAAGCAAAACCAAAAGCTCCTCAACAACAAAAATGCATGCTTTCCGGTACAAAAGTTGTTTGAGTATCATATCTTGATATATAATGAACCAGTTTTCCATTTATTTGGCATATTAACCTTTTTTTTTTCCTTCCCCCTCCCCCCCAACAGGCGTGGTAAACCTCTTTACATCTGCAAGGAAAGATACAAAGTGCTTGAGCAGCAGTGGGTGTCTCATACCTTTGATCATATCAATAAAAGATGGGGGCCACATTATAATGGCTTGTGAATCATCATCTACACACCATGTCATTGCTGTTACCATGAATGAATTCATCTTGACTGACAATAGCTTTAACTGAATAGGAGTTCAGCTCTTCAGCTCAGGGGTGGAGTTGGGTGTGGACATAAAAGGGAAATGGAACTTCGTCAATGTGTGAAGTTTTTGCAAAATTACCTGCTGTTGCTACTAAATAGTGAGAAAATAATTTGAAATTAAATCCTCAAAATGGCACATGAGTAATCTGATTGCACTTAGTAGTCCATTTTTCTTTTGCTTTTTAAAGCCCATTACTGTTAAGAAGCACAAATTTTACTTACAGTTGTTTAGAGGCTCTAGGGTTAGTTATCAGGTTTTTATTTTTCTCTGCATGGAGTTTTTAGCAATTTTTGCTGAAACTGTATATGTCTACTACATCTACTAAATATGTTGGATAGAATTTCTTTGCCTTTTTTGTGTTGGTTTGAGGTTTTTGCTTGATAGGCGTTTGTAATTAGACAGATAGGATTTGTGAGACTGCATGGCAACAACTGGTCTGAAAGGTGAATTTTAAGGAGTATTTCACTTATCATGAGAGGTCTATTGAAATATGTCAGGCATTACTGAAAACTTAGGCGTTCTCAGGAATTTCATATTTTTTTTTCTCCATAAGTGAAATAGCTGTACGTTAGGTATTTTATTGCAATTAATGCAATCCAGAACACTTTGTTTCCTTTTCCAGAAAGGAGAATTTATTTTTTTTTCTATATTAATTGACTAAACTGATAGTGATAACATAAAGAAATTGCTGTATATAGAGAATTTATACAGCACCCAATATAGCAGATCCCGGTTACAACCTAAGCCTGCCTGTTACTTCAAACCAGATATACCCTTCAGAATTATTGAATTGAAAATGTGCAGGCTGTTCTGCAAATGAAACATAATTTTTTATCTTTCCTGTCACTTCAGGAGATTCCTCTATATTGTATTTGTTTAGAGTAATCACTTCTTTCTGCTTGCTTTCCTAAAAAAAGAGGGTGGAGGGGGTGTGGAATGGACAGAGAGAGTCTAGCTGAACAACCAATGCATGTGCAGCCTCACTGGATGAATGCCAAAACAGTTCATGCGTAGAAGGCTGAAAGATCCAGGTAAACAGGCATGACTTGGCTAAACCCTACAGTGTAAGTGGATAAGAAAGATTGTAGTTAAGATACTGGTATGTAATATATTGCTACTGATGTTTTTCACAAGTGTTGAACATTTGTTGGCTATTTCATACAGTACTACAAAGCAGTTCCTGGTAGTTTGGAATTTCATAGCTTGTGTGTAAAATAATTTATATGTGTAAAATAAAAACATCTTATGATAAAACCACTTACACAATGAAACCAGTTCCTAAGTGGAAGTCATTACCTAATGAAAAGTGTATAGGGGAAATTAAATGACTGTATAGCAATCAAGGAGAATGGACAGAAGGAAAAGTAAGTCAATATAATGAGTTTTTCTGGATACCTGCAATTAAAGAAACAAACAAACAAAAAAGAATAAAGGATGGTGGTTTTTATACATACATATAAATATATCTGTATTTCAAAAGTACTACAGTACTTCCTGTAAGATTAGAATTATTCTGTTTCACCAACTATATGGCTATGTCTTTTCCAAAATATTATTTTTTTGATACTGTATTATAAGTTCTGCCTGTAATATTTTTGCATTGCTCATTATGAATACCAGACCATTTTGTAAATGTGGTTAAAGAGCAAAAACATTCTTTACATCTCCAGCATAACATTATTACAGGGCTCATGAACTTGAGTAATCTCTGGTTTGAAGCTCCAATGCTATCTTTACAAGAGATAATGTATCCAGAATTTGATTACTGTGTTTTATTTAAAATGGAATGTTCTCTGGTTGTGCATATGGATGTGAAGTAAAACTATTAGCCTTAACTTTAGCATTTGGGTATTTCATAGTGTTTCTTTTAGTACTGGTGAACTAGTCACCAGTCAATTTAAAAACAACAAAAAAAATCACTTCATTGAAAAATTGTACTTGAATATCCTTGCATGCTGCTAAACAAGAATTTTGACTTCCCCCATAACTTTTTTAATCTTACTTTAAGCTGACCTTGAAAAATAACAAGTCCAAACTACAGTGGGGTGTGTGTGTGTATTACTCAAATGTTCTAGTGTGATATCCTGTATGAATGATCATTTAAGTACAGTACATTACTGTAGAAGCTAAATCTTTATAACACATCAGCGGAGTATAAAACTAGGAATACAGTAATTGACATTGTAAGATATGTTAATAAAAGTCTACTGTCAATCTGTGTGTTTGTGAATTTTTTTTCTCTACCCTACCCATCCAAAAATGTAATTATTAAATTCCATCCAATAGCCAGGCAGTTATTTAAATGTCAGAGCCTATGTATGCAAAGTACTTTGCATAGAGAGTAAAGCTGGTGTGGGGTTTTTTTTTGTTACTCAAGCACAGTCACGTATTTTGTATTAGTAAGTTTGATTATTTTATCTATACTGCTTAAAGGCATGCTTAGTTTTATGCCAGCTATTACAATGTTGCTGCTGCAAACTGCTAAAATGCTGAGTTGAGAAATGTACTTCTGGGTAAACCATGCTTCATCTTCTCTTCTGTCAAATCTGTTTCTGCAATAACTATTACTTCAATATGATGAATGTATATACTTAGGTATTTTTCCCTTTTTTTGACCTTTGAGAAAATTGGTGAAACAGTCTTGTTGTTTTGACCTTGACCTTACAATACAGCTTTTTTTTTTTTAAGTGGCAGCCTGAAATTTTCAATTATATTTTCATCACCTCTGCAGTAGGAATCTTGTGTAACTCACAGCATTTCACAAGTAAATGACATTTTTCCTTTAAAAATATGATCTTTTGGTAAAAACAAATGTTACTCTTCAGTACATAACCCCATGGGATCAGTTTGTGCTGTGTGTATAGCTACCAGAGGAGATGGTGTTGATCTTGATAAGATTTTAGGTCTCGTGAGATCCATACTGCTGGTCTGAAGGCCAGACTAATGCCTCCTTTTGGCAGGGCACAGTGGTAGTCTGGGGACTACCTACTTTTATGTTTTCTTATATGGGCAGTTGTTTCCCTGCAGGTGCTTTTACACTGAGAAGAGCCCCAGCTCCTGCTGCAGCTACTGGTTCAGCCTTGTGACTTGCCCTGCCTCTCCTGCCACAATAATGTCCTGTCACTGTGGCTGTAATCCTGCTAGGTTGTACTAGCTTTCATTCCTGTAAATGGATGTCCTTAAGTAGGAAAAACATATTCACAGTGATAGAATAGAAAGGAATGTGAGGACTGTCTTCACAATAAGGGGACTGTTTGTAGAGTGGAGAGCTGCAATCTCCAGTGCCCTAAGGTATATATAGAATAACCGAACAAGAAGACAGGAAGAACGTGAGAAATTGAATGAGAACTAATCAAAACCAGATACCTACCTCAAGAAGTCTGGATAGCCTAAACGTCTGAACTTCAGGAACCGGTAGGCATGCTTGATAGACTCATACATAGTAACTTCTCCTCCCAGGGGAGGCATAAAATGAAGTTCATGAGACATACAACGCCTGATGTGCAGGGGGGTCCATGTTAAGGGGGATATGTAGTGGGTGGACGGGGCAGCCTGTCCACTCCCAGCACCTCAGCCAATGGGGAGAGGAGGAGGGACATATGCGGCCAGGAAATTAGGATAAAAAGGGGTCTGTGTCCCCCAGCAAAACTGAGACCCTGTGGGAAACCTCGGCTGGTCCAAGGGATCAGAATGCAAGCAGATAAATGTGTATCCCTTAAGAGGCTGGGAACTACTGAGAAGAGCAGAGTAACCAAGAAGTTAGAGCAGAGAAAAGTTGTCCAATCATGAACTGTTGATCCTTGACTAAACCAACCATATATAGACACATATGTTTAAGAAAAGGTATAAAAAGGCTTGTTAGAACAATAAAAGTGTTTTCTTGCTCACAAGCTTCTGTGTTGTTTCTGTCTCAACAAGACCCCCACCTGCCTATGCCCCTGGACTCTCCCTTTATTCAAATAAAGTATATTTTTTTACAGGACTCCTCTGTCTCCTTTGGGAACATCAGCCTCTGAGTACGGCATTTTCTACACAATTTAGGGCTCGTCTGGGAGCCTTCCACCTTCCAGGGACAGCAGGCAGCAAATGGAGCTGATGGCGCCTCACCTGAATTTCAGTGATCAGTTCCCTTTGGTGGCTGCCAGCACTGGGCAACTGATTGGGTGCCCGAGACTGTTGAGACAGGTGAATGGCAAACGGGGGGGTCCATAAAGGGTCGACCAAAGGGATAAGGGAAAGGAGGTCATAGGTGAGTAGACCAAGGGGAATGTTCTTAAGGCCAGCCAGGGAGGGTGAGAGAACTACACTAGATGGTAAGCCAGAGGAAGGGAATTTAAACTGCACATGTTTGGTATAAGGGAGGACACTCCCTTGCAATTCTGGCACTAAGCCTACAGAAAGCAGTCATGTTAAAGTATTCTCTTTTTAATTCTCTGGTTGCCCATTAGAAGCAGC